TTGCTGGTCGCTCGATGCATATGTGAGCGCATCTCCTTTAGTTTTATCGGCAGCTCGCTTTCTTTCTCAGAGGAGGCATTCCTCCTCGTCGGCGAGTTCTTCAGCATATCGCTCATCATCTTCGTAGTAAGTTTCCCTGCGAGCGGTCTGAGCTTGCCTCACAGCTTCCCACTTTAATTCGCATAGTTCATCGGGACTATCCTCTTCGGCATCATCTTCAAGATCGACCACTGATGTCGACCTGCCAGCTGGTGCCGATCCGTCAGCTGGTGCCGATCCGCTGGCTGTCGCCGCACTTTTGTTTACATCTCGTCCGTGGCACCCGGGGGTTGGGTCGACATTCATATCGATTCGACGGACTCTAGGTGCCTCCTTAGGCGTTGAGAAGTTTAGTATTGTCGGGACGACGCGATCTGTTGCCTGCGGCGCGGGTCTTTTCCCTCTTCGGCTGGTCATAGTATTATTGAAGATGTCTTATTCCTTTGACTTCTTAACAAGCTCGTCGAACATGTTCTTTATCTGAGCCAGAGGATCGAGATTTTCTTCCGTGGTAAGCGGCGTCTGTACTTGTGTAGATCCGTCCGCCGCGGTGTTCTTCTCTCTGGGCTTGTTCGCTACGGTGTCTTTTGCTGTAGATTTGTCTGCGGCGATTTCTTTCGGGTTGCTGCCGCTGTTGTCTCTGTCGATGGTCATTTCTTCTGATCTCGGCGCGGTGGTGCTTTTGGGTAAGAAACCTTACTTTCTCCTTAGATGACTCCAAATTGTGGGGGTTGAATCTCACAATAAGACTAAGTAACTTTTTATGGTTTGTAAAGGTCTATAGAAAGCCACCAAACCCAAAGATCTTAAGAGAGATTTTTATTAAGCTGTTAGAAAACTGTTTCAGAATACAAGCGTTTGTCAAATGAATTCTCGATCTCCTTTTTGGGTGAGTACAATGAGCTATATATAGGATTTCTAGGTAAGATGGGCTAGCTAATAAAATGGGTTTGGTCCATTAAGCAATATATCTAATTTAGACCAATTATTCCATTAAGCTCATTTTGCTTATGGGTTTAATGTCATTTTGGGCCTAGATTCAGATTGAGCATTTGTAGACTTGCTTTGATTTCGTCAAAACGTTGTGGAGTTGATCTCGTCGCCATATCGATCTCATAGGGGTGAAATCCGACCCTTACAGTTATGAGTCGTAGAGAGACTACATATTGTCACAGATAAACGCAATCCCTTAATAATACAACTAAGAATATGCTTCCTCTCTAAAATCTCAGTAAAGAAAAGTAAAAGATAAAACAAAAAGACCAATAAGAAAGAAACTTACTACTTACTAAATTCTACTGAAAAATTATACAAAAATTCGATGTATCAATCAATGTAGAGACACGCAAACACTAACCATTCTTATGTTCTATCCTCTGCTCTTGTCTCATCTTTAGTTAAGATCATGGGATGTTTGACCTAGCCATCTGCAAACACAAAGAAAAATAAAGTTATCAAAATTTATTTTCAGTTTAGAGGTTCCTAATTCAGGAAAAAATGTAAAGATTATCATCAACCAAACCATGAGTAAAACAATCTTCCAAGTGGGCTAACGTTTGTATTGGAACTAAACTCTTTGAAAGCTTGTTTTCTGCATCATTGGTCATAGTCTTACCGAACAAACGGATCGCTATGTCTTGCTGTTCTTTCACCTACACATCCTTTGAACTGTATGATAATTAGATCAAAAATATTGACCATACGATTACTGATAATGTATGTGTGATAGATCTTTAAGCGTTTTCCCCTACCTTCCCAACTGTTCAATTAGTTTGGCAAAAGCTAAAGAACCAGGCTTTTTGCGTTCCATGTTCACAAAGGCTCTCAAAATTTTATGTCCAACATATCCTTATGAGTCGGTGCCACCTAGAGCCTACATCAATAATCCGTTAAAATGATATTTGGTACCGAATAATTCCCATTATGCCAAATACTCATTAAGAAGGAAGACGCCAAATGCTCATAAGAGCTTACCTCTTTCAAGAAGGGTAAGAGCCGCAGTGACAATGATGCAGACGATGATGATGCTCTTGTGTCTCGGTCAATCATTTTGGAGTCATCTTCATCGTCACTCACTTCTTGTGAACTCATGGCTCCCTCCATCAAACTTGTGAACTGTAAACTTAGAGAAGAGTTTGGACACAAGTGCAACAATTTGACTCAAGTGATAAATCCCATTAGTACAAATAGCATCAGGTGAACTTTAGCCACATCTCTCACGTGCACTACACCTAGCTAGTGATGCTCTTGTGTATCGGTCAATCATTGTAAGAGCAGTAACAAAACGACGCAACTTACGTTTATGCTCGGTTGAAGAAGTAGTCCGGGGCATGTTGATGGATAGATGGATACACATATTGTTACAAATAAAAATTTTGTTAATGAAACACGATGGTTGATACGGTTGATACGATAAAACACGATGATATAGTTTAAATGAGAATAATATTTAGACAATTGAAAATTTTTCAACTAGTTGTTTATTTGCAAAAATGTCATTAATTATGGATATTTAAAACTTAAATCTTAAAATTCTAAATCCGAAAAAATGTTTTGACCCCTAACTAAAATTAAACCCTCAAAACTAAACCATAATACAATATAGTTAACCCAA